GCAACATTGGACACGCTGGGATCATGGGCCCGACCAGGAGCTCCGTCGGCAAGTGATTCCATTTGGAATCGAGCACACTGTCGGTCACGATAAGTCGAGGTTCGTCACAATCATTGGGCACGAGCGCCAGCTGGGGAATTGGCAGGGGACTAGCTGCGACAAACTTAGCTCGACCAGCTTAGTGCTTGGCTTACTGCAGAACCAGTTAGAATATGTTCTATTCTGTCTAAAGATTCCAGATGCCTCTCCTATCCCAACAAAAAGTTATGGTTATCAAACACAAACGACACACCGAAGCTTGAAGTTACACAACAATGACTCGAGAACGCAGAGTCTGTTTAGCTTGACTATGCCAGACGGGTTGCCTTGCCATCTGGTGTCACCACCTCCTGCATCGGCATGCCCAGCACTGCCCATCGGCGAGCTCCAAGGGACATGATGATCTCATCTGTGTCGTCATGAACGAAGACCTCGCCCAAAGTGAACAGCTGGCCTCGGCTTCAGCTGCGGGCCAGGGCAACTGATCACCCAACTACACCAGGCGCGTGAGATCATCAGGCCCAACCCAGACTCAGACATACAAACGTTACTGCTTGGTTCATCAAGAAGCCTCTAAAATTTAGAAACAACAATAGAAATAAAACAAAAACAAGTGGGAAACTCAAGTCTTATCTAGTTCGCAAAACACGCCAGCGACGCGGCTTGATTGAGTACTGACAGTTATATTAAAGTTGAACGAATCGCAGAACATGATAACACAACAGTGTCGCTGTGTTACTGCGGACACGCCGCAGCCCCACGCCTGGTTCACATGGCACCAGTTGTCGGCAGCACCTTGGACCACATAGTATGTAGCCGCAGCAGCACGCTGTTGAGAGAGAGGCCCTGCCTTTTTCCAGCCTTTGCTGAAATTCAGCAGGGCCTTGGCAGTCTTCATTTCCGGCTTCGGCATTGTTGTAGCATTGACAGAGACAAGCTTGCGCATGAGCTCGTTGCGAAGCGGCAGTAGCTCCGGGGAGAAGGCCTGCAACCAGTCCTGTACGTCGGGCAAAATGGGTTGCAAGCCGCTCTTCTTGGCGTACGGGGCGGCGAGGGTCAGGGCATACTTTGTGAAGTCAGCCATCTTGGCTGCCTTTGTCGTGAACGCAGACCTGGATCTCAGGTGCGCAAAGGTAGACTCCATAACTCCCCACGTGGAATGGGAAGCCTCCACCCATCTTCGGGCCAACTTCCGGGGCGGATTCGCGCCCGGGCGGAAATTCGTCTGTGCAGCGTAGCCCATGCACTCACGAGCCAGCTGCTGGCGATTCCACGCCAAGTCACGGACCAAGTTTGCCAGCTCGGACGGCAGCCTCTTCGCTCGCCCGGACACTGTTTTCTTTGACTCCAGGCTTTTCAGGTGTGCCTCAAGCTTCACAACGGCCAGGGTGATGCTCTGCAGCCTGGAGACCCCAGCTCGCCGGCCAGCGTCGTCAGAGATGAGGTAGGCAGGCATGGCGTGCGGAAGCACGTACTGGTACTGCAAGTTGGCCCAAGTGTGGTTGCCGCCCAAGTGACAAGCGAAAGCCATGGCCTTCTCCATGAGCCGAAGTTCTTTCTGGCTGCTCGGGTCATTTCTCGCGACTTCTCTGCGGGGCATCGCTGCGGGCAACCCCACCTTCTCACGCAGCTCGGCAGAAAATGCCTGGTGCACAGTCTCCAAGGTAGTGTTCCACCAATGCGACGTCCCACGTGCCCGCTTTGCTGCCCAGGCACTGAACCCTCTGTCGTTCTGGGATTTCTGGTCCGCGTAGAACTCTGCTTCCAGGGGCGCACTTATGATCAGGATCACATGGGCCGAATGGAAGAGATCACGACCTGCCAGAAAGTCTTGCACCATTTTCACTGGGCCCTGACCTGAGTAGGCAGCAAAAAGCTCGGACTTGTTCTTGGGCTCCTTCTTTGCAGCTACCGCCTTTGGCTTCTGCTTCTCCACCCCACTCCCATCATCCTCATCCTCGTCAGATGTACCGGGCTGGTCGCCGGTGTCTTTGGCATCCTCAAGCATGTGCTGTAAACCGTTGCAGTTAAAATTTTGAAAGTTAGCCAGAAGAGAAAGAGAGAGAGAGAGAGAGAGAGAGAGAGAGAGAGAGAGAGAGAGAGAGAGAGAGAGAGAGAGAGAGAGAGAGAGAGAGAGAGAGAGAGAGA